TTCAAAAATTGGTTTTCATTAATTTTGTCTGGTATATTTCACTAATAGATACTAATCTATGTAATTACCTGACAGTTTTCCTCTACAGCCTAATCTGGTTGTGTTGTCGTTTTCTAAATTTCTTGTGGTTTCGCGATCATAATGGGAAGATTTAGGTTGTCCAGCACCATATGAATTCTTGAAACAGGGAACTGCCAAGATTGCCGTTGCTGTACCTTGATTTCCACAGCCAATCATAATTTAGTCCACCTGCAGGCCAAGCCTCATGGCTCGCTATGCCGGGCGCTCGCTATGGCGTGGAGGACGTTAAGGACCCTTCCTCCCACGGTGGATCCTCGACTAGCCCGCAATTGTGACCTCAGTTGCCCTTTCCATACATAACGTAACTTAGGGGAAGAATTTATGTATCCTACCGAGGGCTAACCAAATAATTATTAGGGACTTTACCGGGCGAAGCCCAATCAACTCATAATTTCTTACCACCAATCCCTGTCTGTTTGGGTTTGACATACAGGTATTACAAAAGAATAAGAGTAATCTGACACTGGGACGTTGGAGTTTCCTCTCTCGGTAAGTATGGTAGTATTTATATTTACTTTTCATTCGTCTCGGATGAGAGCTGAAAGACTGGTTTTTTCGCAGAGATTTTTTCATGTCCAATCCCGGGGTGGAAATTCTAGACGTCTTAGCACGAGGTCCTCTTATTCCCATTTTTACTGTGAGGGAAATAACAGGAACTGCAATATTATAATATCATACTAGAGAATGATTATTCAAGTAATAGAAAGTTATTGTCGGAATGAAGAAGTGGGCAGGGAGAAAAACAGTGATTTTTTTCTTTTCGCAGCAACTCTGTAGTTTCAATACCGAGTTATCTCTTAGATATATGGATAATTTTCTATAACTTAGTCACTAAAATAACAATTTTTTGTGGTCAGGGTTACAATATGTCGCTTGGCAGAACTTTAGAGCGTATGGAAATAATTGTTGAAATTTGTGAATTGAGAACTCTAACCAATAGGAACTGTTCATTTCACTCGTCCAGTTGTGGTTTGTGGACACATTCCTTGTGATAATAATGATTGACCAAGTGGTGTGAGAATATACAGAAAATTTAGTCAAGTATCATACAGCACTGAGGCATACATGACGTTATCCGGGCGAAAAGGGTAAAAAAAAAAAAAAAAAAAAGCCAGAAGCTATTATACTGGCAGCTAAGTTAAATCTACTTGCGGGTGGGTGGGTACTGAGGGAACATGGGATAAGTATGAAGGGAAACCTTTCAAAGGCGGCAAGAGCAGAATTTAATACTGGAATTTTCGCTAAGTATCTTAGGGCAGGGGGCAAATACAACCTCCTCGGAGAGTGGAAAAGAAGGAAAAGAGATTAAGAAGTCATCGACTCTGGTGTTGGAAGAGGAGATAGGTGTGAAGGTACCTGTTTATTGTCAGGAATCTCAACAACAAGTCTGCTAACTAATTATACATTATCAACAACATAACTAGGGCGGTTTCCCGTACCCTGCAACACTCAACATCAGGTACATATCTGGATTAAATCTACTTGTAGTTTAAGCCCAGCAGGCGCTAAGCTTTCAGGATGCTTTGGAAACTGCAAGCACATGAATCGGCCCTTAGGCCCCCGAAATGGCCTCGCCTAAGATGTTCTTTAGAGAAAACATTACGGCGATGAGCATAAGGAACATGGCGATAATCACGATGACCACAGAGCCGTACCCAACAAAGTGTAGAGCGCGAAGCCAACCCTTCTTCTCTCCAAATCCTGTAGCGCTGCGCTCCATGAGACTGTTTATCTTTCTCTCGATTTTTCCCATGACCCAGACGATCGCACCACAAATAAACATCGCAGCAACCCAGACAAAGATGAGGAGCAAGATCTCCTGGGACATGGTCAGGTGGCATTTCCCCAGTTCCGGCATCGAGGCCCCCATTTCGGTCATGGTCGCCGCATTCTCTGGGGACTGTTGAACTTGGACTGTTTCTGTGTGTCAGCACCATAGGGATCTTTGATTATTGAAGGGGAAGAACACACGAGAGCGCTTGCGGTAATCATTCCACGGGTTCAACATCAATTCGTCCTGATAGTCGTAAAACGAAAAACCGGCATTATTCCAGGTGCTCTTGGTTGTAGCTGGAGGGGATTCCGGAGGGAACATGGCGGTATCTTTCCTCATTTCCACATCTTCGGGCTTAGGGAACATGACGGTAGCTTTGGGTATGTCCTCACTTTTTTCGGGCTTCGGGAATTTCAGACCGGATAGCACGAGAGCTTTCCCCTTGCCCTTTTCTTTTGAGCGAGAGGATTCCAGATCGGACGACATTGGGGCTTTCTCCTTGCCCTTTTCCTTAGAGCGAGGGAATTCCAGATCGGACGGCATGGGAGCTTTCCCCTTGCCCTTTTCCTTAGAGCGAGGGAATTCCAGATTGGACAGCATCGGAGCTTTCCCCTTGCCCTTTTCTTTAGAGCGAGGGAATTCCATATCGGATAGCATGGGAGCTTTCTCCTTGCCCTTTTCTTTGGAGCGAGAGAATTCCGGATCGGACGGCATGAGGGCTTTCCCCTTGCCCGTTTCTGTTGGGCGAGGGGGTTCCGGAGAGAACGTCAGATACTTGATTGGCGGGCGGAGCACTTGCATTTCCAACTCGACTGGGGCGGGCTTGGGTTTAGACTTAAAGAAAGAGGAGAGGGATGAGAGTATCCTGTTGAATACACCTTTCCCCCTAGGGGATGATAGTGGTAGTGGAGCCATTTGAAGTGTAATAGCTGTTGTAATAGAAGAAGCGAGAAGGCTATTGGAGAAGTGAACAGCCTATTGCGATGGTTGTGGAGAGAAGTTCGAGGGGTGAGAGGAGGGCGGTTGAGGGGTGATATATACACTCTGAGGTTCCCGCGTGATGTTTTGGACAGCGCACCAATTATCTCGTATCGCTCATCGGCGTTGGCCATGTTGGCCATCCCCGAATCCTTTGGTCGGAAAGGTTTCGTTGGCCTGAGCGAGAAGTTGTATCGGCATATAGGAGCTTGAGAATGCTACGTTGCGCAATGATCTGTCGTCATCATGTATAGTACTATTTTAACACCAACTCAACATCAAGTTGGTGGATCTCATAATTGTAGGTGGCGGTAAAATTGATAGTACCAATCTCACAGTACTTTGCTTTACAAACCCCTCCAAAAACCACATATTTCTTAAATCATTTTCTCTCCCCATCCTATCTCCCTCCTCTTTTCTTTCTTCTATTCCTATATTTAGCTTGGTATTTCATTTGGAATCTCTTTTTCGATGCAGCCGTTACCGTACCGTGGTTGTAGCTCCTCATACCGTTGTTAGCATCAGTCAGCGAACATCACGTTGCAACGGTGTGCACTTTCTCAATACCCGACTTCCCAACAAATGACTAGTAAAACCAGAACTAAAAACCATTTTAAAAATAGAATGAATGCTAATTAACAACCTGTATACCGTCCACCGGCCTCAATAATAGTGCTTCCGTTGTGGTGGAGCTATGATGGGATTCGGGAGTGGGGAGGGGTTGCTATATCGCGCGGTGGCCGGTTGCGCCAAATGTTCTGTTAATTATGCCACGGTAAGACAGGGTTTTCGGCTCTGTGGTTCGGGATCACGTTTTTGATAGGGCGAGTCAGTTTGAAATTTAACGCTAACCGAGCCGGGTAGAGAAGAGCCTCAACCGATGTGGCTTTTTCACCATGGAATCGGTTCACTGGAACGCAGAACAAAAGTGAGGAAAAACAAATTAAGAGAAGGATAAAAGCCTGTCACAAGCGAAGGGGGTGTTCAGACTCGGCTCGCAGTATCGTGCTGTGGGAGCGTCTCTACTCCAGTTTGGAGCGGTTCAAACAGGGGGTTTGTAATTCATGACTGCGAACCGGAAAAATGAAATGTGGTATCGTACTAGCACCGGCTTCGGGGGAGGATTGCAGGGTGTATCGGAGATTCAGAGGTGCCGGTACTCGAGCACTCAGCATGATACACGCGCCGGGTTTGACAGAACAGGAAAGGTGCAATAGCTACAGGACAGATATATACCGGTAATCCAGCGAAGACGGTTTAAGCGCTAGTACAAGTACGTTCAAATAAGGTTTTTATCCTTGTCCTGTCTAGGAATGGCGGTAAAACTCGATCCATACGAGTACTGTATCAGTCAGCTCGAGCAAGGACTAACCCTTGCGGTTCTAATTTGGTCGCAATTATGAGTTTCACCGCAGCCGCTTCTTATTTCAACGTATGGTATTACAGCAGCACGGCCAGCGGCCCAGTACAGGGTAGGGTACAATGGTCAGGCACAAAAAGGTGGTATCATACCCAATGTGATGTTGATATTGGTCAGGATAAGTGGCAGCTGCAACAGGCTTGTCAGAAAACCCAAATTTTCTATTTCTTGACAAGACTCTGGGGAGAGCTAGCGCTTTTTTTTTTGATGGATATTTGGTATTAGATTCGTCAATTATATTTGTTCCTAGTTGGCCAGCAACGGGAAAAAGAGATCGTCGTATGCTTACAATCGGTTCTCGTAGAAAACAAGTAAAATAAGTCAAAAAAACGAGACAAATATCACATCTTTCTGGAGTTCCTATTCGAGCGTTTGACGGCTCGAACAAATAGAATTCTATGCTTCTAAGCCTGTTTTGTGATTTGCCCTACGGGAAGCTGCAGGTGAGGCAACTCCAACGTCCTAGCGAGAGGCCTACCTGGAATTGCTCTACATTTAATTGTGAGTATGACTAACGGCCATATAACAGGCTAGCGAGACTGCTAATTAATCCCTGTCCCTGTGTCGCACAAGCGATGGGGGAGCGGGGTTAATGTCTGCCTTGAGTCGCACGGTCGGGAGCCCTTGGAGGAAATTATTTGGGAAGGCGGGCAACCTACCGCTGATAAGAGCAAAGCGCGCTCAAGAGGGATCCCTTGCGTCGCCTGCACAGGAAGAGAGCAGTTAGAATACCCACTCGCTTTAATCATGGAAGCCACCAAAGCAGCCCCGGGCGCTCTTGGGCTCCCGGGTACCGTTGATATTTGTCTTCGGTATGCCCTTTAGCCGCAATAACATGCGGGGCTTGCTAATGTAACTAGAGCCGGTCAGAATCTTTGCGAACGATACAAGGACGTCCAAGAAACGCACAAAGATATAGAAGACCTAAAGATTCGGGTGGAAAATGCCTGGCTACATATTGCATACCAATTAGCGACGGTTCAGAGTTCCTCCGAGGAAGTTCATCAAGTCCTCACAGACCACATAGCGGAGCTTCTCAATAAACTGCAGTTCTACCTGTTCACTGCCTGCAAAAACCTCGAAAAGCTAAAGGACAAAAAAGGGAGGACGAAAGTGATAAAGTTCGCGATTTTCCTAAAAGGGTCGTTGGGGAAGGATGTCTCGGCATTGGAGAGGTGGAGGGATATGTTCAGCTCAACCTTTTACATGCTATCGGTACCGAAAAACCCTGCGCTGGATCATATCCTGTCGATGGAGCTCCAAAAGAGTCAGCCCGATGGTAGTGCTGTTGCCGCTGTCAATGCGATCCGTGACGTCCTCGCCGATGAACCCACGAAACAGCTCAAGTCTGTCTGGCTGGACCCCATGATTATGCGCCTCCCAACCCCCATTGGCTACTCTGGGGCTCATAATATCTTGGATAATACTACCAACACAAGATACATTATGGAAACTATTACTGTTGATCCAGGTCGAAGAGACTACAATCGACTCGACAAGGACGTGACAAAGCTAGCAAGTGTGCTTAGGGAATCCAATGGTGTCCCGGGAGTCCTGGCTTGCAAGGGAGTCGTCAGGAAGCAGAGAAGTGATGGGGCTCCCGAAAAATTCGAGTTCATATTGGAGATGCCCCATGGACTCGACGAAAGTCCCGAGTGCCTCCGAACTATTCTTCAGAGATCGACCAACGAGCCACACCCCCTCGATGAGCGCGTCTTTCTCACTAAACAGATTGCGAAGGCAGCTCTGTCCGTACACAACCTCAATTTCGTCCACAAGAACATGCGTCCGGAGAACATCCTTGTCTTCCCCAATCCCGGGAAAACGCTCGGCATCCCATTCCTCGTCGGTTTCCAGATGTTCCGGTCCGCCGACGGGATCACCTACAGGGCCGGTGATGAGTCCTGGTCGAGTAACCTCTACCGCCACCCCAGCCGCCAGGGAACCCTCCCGGATAATGGATATAGGATGCAGCACGACATCTACAGCTTGGGCGTTATTCTGTTGGAAATCGGCCTATGGTCTCCATTCGTGAACGAGGAGGGGGAACCTGCGGCGGCACTGTCACAGATTGTGCATACCCTACAAGACAAAGATCAAAGGACGAGGGCCACCCGGATCAAAGAGGTGTTGATGGCCATGGCGTACAAATACTTGCCCCCGAAGATTGGATCTAAGTATACGGACATTGTGATTTCATGCCTCACGTGTTTGGATAGAGACTCGGAGTTGGGAAGCGAAAGTGAATTCCTCGACGACGATGGTACCTTAGTTGGTGTGAGATATACCCAACAGGTAGGTCCAACCCAGTGTGTCTATTTGAGCTTCTCTTTCAAAGGCTAATCTTGTTTGTAGATTTTGGGCGTGCTGGAAGAAATTGATATTTGAGACGAGGATCGGATTTACGCAGTGGAAGAGTGGAAATTTGGCGAAATGCAAGAGCGGGATTTAGGGGTGAAGTGTATCGAGTGAAACTGTATTAGTTTCTCATTAATTTCTGTTGCTCGAGAGATCCTGGACCATAGTAGGCTTGAGAAGCTCTCATCAGAATGGCTCTCGGGAAAACTGTTTGTTAAGGCCCTGACGTTGCGCTTAATATTTTGAAGCGATCTGGTTATGATGCTGTTCCTTCCAAACACCGAAGTATGATTTGATATCTTATAATGAAACCAACTCTCCTCCGGTCACAGCACGTAGAAACCCTGTTGCCGCTAGCGCGCTGCGCTGTGGTGTGGGTAATAACAACTAACCCCCTACTGTACTTGGTTTACCCTCCGTCCCCGGGCGCGCCTCTACACGGCTGATAATCATGAAGAGCCCACCCCTTTGGGTATCATAGAGCCACAGTAAAGGAATTATCAGAACAACGGCCAATCGGATAAACCCTAAGAAATTTATCCGGATTTACTTCACCATCCCTTATCAAAAACCCAACACTTAATAATTCTCTCTACCCATCTTCCTTCCCTTTCCTCCTTCCTTCGGTTTGGTATCCTGCCCAGAATAAAAAAACAAAAGACTACCGGCAAAGTATCATACCGAAAAACGTTTTTGATCGGGTGACTTGGTTTGGGACTTCAAAACCAGCCAAGCGGGGTACGGAATACTTGTGGTTTGAGAAGTGTGGCTTGTCGCGGTTAAGTTAACATGGGGTAGAGGGAAGAAGAGGATAAAACACTAGAAATGGTTGAGCCTAAAGCAAGGAAAAAAATGAAAGAATTTCCAGCAACAAGAGGTTCGGATTCGGCATGTTTTATTCTTTACCGTATTATATGGATCCTTGACAGGCCGGTTCGGGTGGAACATTCGCAGTTCCCCATCCCAATCTCGGAAAGGTCAACCGTAGGACTAATACCATAGTTGGCAAGGCGCATGGTATCTCAGAGACAGACAGTGCGGTTCGGTACTGGTACAATGTCAAGCTCGATGGAGCAAGAAAGGTGAATTTACGGAGGCACAGCTCATAGGTTTTGTATGAGCCTCGGGTGTTGCGCTCTCTGCCTGTGGAACATACAAAACCAATGATATGAGCTGCACAGTAATGAGCATAATTCGGCACTCACCGAAGATTGTGCTCATCATCTTTCCCTTGAATCGATTGGATAACATACCAGCTCTGTACGAGGACAAGGGTTACCCTTTGGAACCATGCTTCTCTAGGTGGCAGCGCGCCTTGAAAAAGCAACTACAATCTCTCGACTTGGGCAATGCTTATGTGATAAAACCTTATCTTTTCAGCTTCTCCCGCCTTCCCCCAAACCCATCCAAGAAAAAATCTTCCGCTCCCCCCGCCTCCCTCTTTCTTCCTATGATACGCACGAATAGCAGAACCACGACCACCAGCGATAGACCAACAACAAAAGGAACGATAAAGTAAGACAAGATGGGCTCTGCAGCATGTCAAAACCCGACCATTACTATAAACAAAAACGTTGGTAATGTGACCGACAGTTATAATAACTGCAAGATATCGGTGTGGGATGAGAAGCGCCAAATTCTTGAGTGGTTGCCTCCCTTGGCGCCTCGGGAGAGGCATCAAGCTGTGAGGGAGGGCCGGGTGGATCGGGTGGGAGAATGGCTTCTTCGAACGAACGAGTTTGAGAAATGGCATACAAGCAAGGATCAGGCTGTCCATCCTGTATTGTTCCGCCACGGGGACCCAGGGGTGGGGAAGACATATCTGAGGTATGTAAAAGTAGCTCTGTTGAAATAGCGCCCACTACTAAGCGCCCAAACACTAGCTCTCTTGTGATAGATACACTATGCGATTCAATTGATGGGGAAAATGTGGCCGTCGCTTGCGTCTACTGCGACTTCCATGCTCATAAAGAACAATCCGCGACTGGTGTGTTTGCCGCACTCTTGAAGCAGCTTTGTCGCGGCGGTAGAGCCGATCCCGGCGGAGGTAAAGACGGTCTTTGATCGAGCAAAGGGAGAGGTTGACGGTCGGACTCTCCGGCTCCCTGAAATCCTCAGGCTGCTCATCAAGTCTCTCTCCTCTTTGCGACGGGATTCATCTGCATCGACGCTTTAGATGAGTTCCTTGCGAAACATCGACCTGAACTATGGGACTCTTAACAGCACATTCTCCGGGAGCGCCCCAATACTCGGCTATTTATTACCGGAAGGCCACATATTCAAGAGGAGGTGAAGAAATATTTCCCGGGATATCCCGATCTAACCCCCGTAAAACCCACCAAGGAGGATATCGTGGGATATCTTATTAAGAGGTTGAAAAAGGACTCAGAGTTGGACGCAATGGATACGGAATTGGAGGCAGATATTATTAGAACTATTCCGGACAAGATCTCCGGAGCGTATGTGGCATCCGGAGATAGTGAATCAAAAGCCGTCGGCTAACTGTGAACTATAGATTTCTCCCCGTTTCCCTTATTATGGGTGCAATTATGGAAGATGCAACAATTCATGAGAGAAGGCAAACGCTCCACAAGATGACCAACGGCTTTGGTCTAGATGATGCATACAGCACAACTTTGAGTCGCATAAGAGAGCAAAAGGGAAACAAAGGGAGGCTCGGAATGGAAGCATTGATGTGGATTTCACATTCCGAACGGCCGTTGAACGCAGAAGAGTTGTGCCATGCCCTAGCCGTGGAAGTGGGAACTACAGACCCTAACGCTTACAATGTCCCGTCGATACGAACCTTATTGAGCTGCACTCTAGGGCTTGTTACAATCGATGAGCAGGTATCGACACCCCGCCTCATACATTTTACTCTTCAAGAGTACTTCGTAGCACATCCAACCCTGTTCATCACACCCCACTCGATGATGGCTGAAATATGCCTCACCTATTTGAACTTTCAGTCCGTCTGTGAGCTCTCAACTGCTCTCGATACTATCCCGCCGACAATGCCATTTCTCCATTATGCGTCATGTCACCGGGGATTCCATGCTAGGAGGGAGATCGCGGGAGATGTAAATTGTCTTGCATTAAGCCTTCTTCAACGAGATGAGAACCACATATCGGCTGGTATCCTCCTGCGTGAGCAGAGTGTTGACTTCATGTCCTGGGTGGGTCGTCACTGCAGTATACCTCCCGATCTTCGGGGATTTACAGGACTACACTGCATCGCATACATGGGGGTTACCGAAATCGCGATTGCCATGGTGGAAATGAAAATATGGGACTTGAACGGGCGTGATTCTAAGAGTGCAACGCCACTAATATGGGCTGTCAAACATGGAAACTACGCTTTTGTGAAGCTCCTCCTTGAGCAGGGAGACATCGATCCCGATTTATCAGATGGGTTTTACCAAACACCACTCTCATATTCTGCCGAATATGGACATGGGGGAGTGGTCAGCCTGCTCCTAGAGCGAGCAGATGTCAATCCCAATTCGTCGGATAAATGTGGCCAGACACCATTATCATATGCTGCCAATTCTGGACATGAGGGTGTGGTGAAGCTATTCCTAGAGCGAGTGGATGTCAATCCCGATTCGTCGGATAAGAATGGCCGGACACCACCATCACATGCTGCCGAAGATGGACATGAGAGTGTGGTGAAGCTCCTCCTGGGGCGAGGGGATGTCAATCCCGGCTCGTCGGATATGAGCGCTCTGACTCCACTACCATATGCTGCCATTTTCAGACGCGAGGGCGTGGTGAAGCTCCTCCTACAGCGAGGGGATGTCAATCCCGATTCGTCGTGCGAGTATGGCAGGACACCGCTATCATATGCTGCCGAATGTGGACACGGGGGTGTTGTCAGGCTCCTCCTAGAACGCGGGGATGTCAATCCCGATTCGTCGGATGAGGATGACCGAACACCACTATCATACGCTGCCAGTTTTGGACGTGAGGGTGTGGTAAAGCTACTCTTGGAGCGAGGGGATGTCAACCCCGACTCATTGGATAAATCTGGCCTCACACCACTCTCACGCGCCGTCTTGTCTGGACATACCGATGTAATGTGGTTGTTATCACAACAAAGGCAATTTATTCGCAAACCCTTAAAAAAAAGGTGGCATGATACAACAAATCCCCATCCCTGATGTTCGTGCTCAAGAGGAAGTAGAATTAGGTCCAGTACCACAACGAGAAGACTCTATTTCCGGCAGAAGACACCAGTTCACGGAAACCATTCCTCTCCCCAACCACTCTTCATCGAACGAACTTGAAGCACCTCCCACACCATCCGTTCTCATGCCCATGACCACATCCGACACTACTTGTACCTCTCATCCCCCCACCCTAACGCCTTCCCGACCACTAAAACGTCATAAAACGATCGAGCCGCTTGCACATAGTTCCAAGCCCAACTATTCCCATTCATCCTAACACCCTCGCGAACACCTACGTCCCATTGATGACTATATCGGACCCTGCCACATAACTGCCGGATCAATATACACACCTCCTTCCCGAATTCACCCCTCTACCTCTCTACTCTCGACTAGGAAACAGTACCCAGTTCACTCCACGAAAATCGGGTTTTGGTCTTTACCGTATCGGTCCATCTCCTCATGAGGCATTCGAAAAGGCATGAGTCCCGAACCGTTGCACTTGGAACGGGTAGACACGCCAGTGGACATTTTTCGGCCCTCCACTCCTCGTTCCCCCTATGGTTTCCTCCCCCCCCCATTTCTTTTGTCTTGCTCCCCCCCCATTTCTTTTGTCTTGCTCCCCCCCCAACTCCCGCGGGCTGGCACCGGAGGGGATAAGTTACCCCGGGTTTCCATGCATGACAGTGCTTTACTTTCACCCCTTTTCTCTGTTGGATTCTTGGTCCCCGTCACCTCAGTTATCTTTCAAACACTTGGTAGTCTCCTTGCTTGTTTCGTTATCGCGAAGTTAGAGATCAGGACACCTCCAAGCTATTGTTTCATTCATTCATTCGAAACTCTCTACCCCTTACTGGTAAA